CTGTTCAGGGTATACAAAACAAAAAAAATATTATGGCGTGCAAGCTTTGCCAAAAATTACACAACTTAATTTTTCCCCTCTTTTTTGTCCACCATCCATGCCTTAAAAAATAGAAGGAAATGTAAAAAGTACCGTTTTGCAAGTATCCGTCAGTTGGCAGCTCTTCGGCCATTTGTCGTTGTCTGCCGGCAAATAAAAAGCGTGTAAATATGCAGCCGCTTGCACTTTAGCAAAAATATCAAATTTCCATAATGACTATGTTGCCACCGCCACTTAAGTTGCACAAAAGTATTTGCGCTACATACTCATGCACTTAAGCACACTCCCACTTGTTTAATTTGTAGTTGCGCACATTGCTTTGTACCTTCTGCTTTTTTTTAGATGGCAGCCGGCTGAAGTGCATTTCCCCAAACGTTTAGCGAAATTCAGTGGTCTCTTATTCTGCTTGTTTTTATGCGCTGACATTCCGCCTTAGTCTGCAGTCTTCTCAACTTCACTCTACTTGTGTGCTTAGGTATCCCTCATATATTCTAAAATTTATGGTTATTACTCTGTTAGTGCTGTGGATTTCTTTAGAAAATGTTTTAGTGCAATGTCTTTGTGACATTTATGCTTGAGCTTGCTGCCCTGCCCTTATGTCGTCATTATGTAATTTTCTGCTGCAGCGTCGATTGTATAACAAGTGGTTCTTGGTTGGCAATGCAGCTGCAGGAAGTTGTGCTGCAGTTTTACAAGTACTTGAGCAGTTTCTCAGGAAAGCGAGGTAATATTTTTGAGAAAATTGAAACAATGGAATAGCCTTGTAATAAAAAGTTGTCAGAAATTCAACGATTTTAAAAATGACTGAAGTATGTTTAAGACATGACCTTCAAAGAATAATGTTTTGATTATGGCTTGGAAGACTAAGCACTTCCTGAAGCCATGATCATCAACAAATAAATAACTAATAACGTCTTGATGCCATGATCTCCAAAAAAATATCTTGAATATAGCTTGGAAGGCTAAGCACGTCCTGAAGCCATGACCGCCAAAAAATAATATGTTGAATGTGGGTTGGAAGACACAGTACGCCCTGCGCGACAAAAAAATGGTTGAAGATGAGGAACTGGTAGCATCACTCGGTGAAGATTGCTTTCAAACACGAGAAGAGCTTGCAGCATCTTTGGAAGTCACTTAAGCAGCCAAATTGAAAGCCATATGAATGGAAAACAGGAGACCGTGAATGTCGCTTGCCAAAAATGATGCTTGAACGCTACAAAAAAGTCATGTTTGAATCAGATTCTGGATGTTAATGAAAAATGATTTCATTAAGACCCAACCAAGTCAACGGCAAAGCCAAATATATATAATGCTCTGTATTTTTTGGGATCAGAAAGGCATGCTCTATTATGAGCTTCTAAAACCGCTTAGAACGGAACACTAACGATGACAACTCATCAAATAGAAGCGAGATATTGCTGAAAAAATGACCGGAATTCACGACAAAGCCGATTAAACACTATCTAGATAACAGTGATAAGGAAGTCGTAAAATTCACAAGATTCTAGCAATAATATAATATCATAGCTTGGAGCGTCGGTGTCGATGAACCTGCTGTATGTAACAAATAGCCTGTTAGGGGGGAAGCAGTATCAAAAAAACAAAAACAAAAACTTTAATGAGCCTAAACCGAGGTTGATAAATAGCTGATTCTCTAATAATATTAATAGTTTTTTGGATAGACGACAGATCTCACAATTAATGCATATGCGATATTCGGCGAGGTCTGAGCTTATTTTGGAGCAAAATCGCGATCGTGTTAAAAAAATATAAACGAAAAGTTGAAAGATCGTTTCAATGAATATATCGTCTTCGATGATCACTATAATGAACAACAGAAACAACGCCAAAACTTTGTAAAATTGAAAGCAAAACGCCTTGGAAACGTTATTTATCTGCTATCAGGTCACTAAAATAGTCCAAGCTTTGGAAAACTTGAGTCTAAAATAGAGTCAAACCTCGCTTGAAGGCAACTTTAAGCAAAATACTAAATCAAAATATACAAACATATATATAAATACTATATAAAATCGCTACAACAACTTCTAAATAATGAACAACAACGAAATTTTAATTAATCAACTAGAGAGACAGTTATAAAATGCAAATTACAAAAATGAAAGAGAGAGAGAAAGACAGTTATAAAATTCAAATTACAAAAATTAAATACAAAAAAATATTAGAGAAACGTTTAGCACAGGGGAATGGGTGTGAAAACTATGCACGTGCAAAATAAAAAATATATACAAATTTCATATCTGTACATACACAACCAAAGAAAGCACAACCGCAATTAACAAAACGAAAAAATTACAAAAAAAAAAAAAAATCACAAAAACCAAAGAAATAACGAAAAGAAAACGCTGGTGACTAGTACGAAGCCAAAAGCGAAGATCCACCGGGAAAATGACAAACATAAAACCAGCGAAAACTAGCAAGCAGTGAACAGTAGCAGCAGCAATAAGCAGCAGAAAACCGCTACCTACCAGCTTTTGGGCAACACAAACCCTAAATCACTACTAACTACCACGCCACCTTTTGTATGCATGTTGCTGTGCACCGTTGTGTGACGGCACTAACCACTAACCACTACATATTACATACATATCCACATATTAACAAACAAATAAGACAAAAAGCAACACTTATAACAATAATAAAAGCGACAAGAAAAGTCATTAGAGCCGCACAACTGCCAACAGCCAGTCGACAAGCCGCAGCGCCAAGCGCTCTTACCAATTTTACTGGCCTACCAACAACGCGCGCTGTTTTGTTGCTGGTGCTGCCTCTGCAACTGTTATATGTTCGCGCATGTTGCCGGTTACAAATATGGCTGTGAGCCGGCGATATCGCCAATTGGTACGTACGAATACCAACGCCTTAACGCTGCTACCAACCTCTCCGCCAAGCTCAAAACGCCTGCTCATTCAATGCACCGTGATTTACTCTCGCTATGCACGCTCCACACGCTCTTTTGGCATGGCGCACAACAATAACAGCTCAGTGGCAATTGCAGCGGTGCATGCTCGTGGGTTACCGTTTTCCTTTGATTGCATTTGCTTCTTTTTTCTTGATTTCTTTCTATTTTTTGTTTTTTGTCTATTGAATGCTAATCTCCGAGGTGTAAGTGCATTTTGATGCTGAATTTGATTTCTCCATAAATGCTAATTTTATGTTGCGCTTATGCGCATGAAATATTGCATTTTTTCTCACACTCGGATTAATTTCTGTATGTTTATATGTCAACGGTTTGTGTCAGTAGGGAGAATTATATAAATTGAGCTGAAAGCAATCGTATTTCCAGCATTCTACGAAAGACTTAGTTGTTGAAAAATTCTAACAGTTACCCGTAAAATATTTTCTCTCTTCATTAATCTGTATGTGAGAACTGAGAATCACGACCTCTAAATTAAACTTCAAAGACTCTAGATGACAACCTAAACGTCTTGAATCGTATTCCAATAACAAATCTAGAAGACGTATAGCAAAGTCCCATGGCCTATTAATAAAATAAACACTCTGTAGGAGTTATTCCGGAAACGCTTTAGACCTTCAGAGGGTCCTATAAAACTCGGACTCGAACTGACGTATGCAACGACTTAGCACATTTTAGGTCGAGATCTTAAATTGAAAGCGTACAAAATACAGCTTGTGCATGAACTGAAGCCGCTCGATCTTCCCAAGCGACATCGCTTCGCTCTATGGGCTCTTGAAAAGTTCTAAGATTATGCGACGTTTTCGAATTTTATTCCACGATGAGGCAAATTTCTGTCGCCATGGTAATATAAACAAGCAGAATTCCTTCATTTGGAACAAGGAGCAAACTGAAGAGATCAGTCTTGGTTTGGTGTGGTTTTTGAGCCGGTGGAATCATCAGTCTATATTTCTTCAAAAATAATGCCGGTAAAAAAAGAACCGCCATTGGCGACCGTTATCGCGCCATGATAACCATGCCTGAACAGCAAGACTACGCCACTTCCCATCCACCGCATCAATCAATGGATTTATTGAGAGAGCATTTCGGTAAGCAGATAACTTCACGTATTGGGCCGGTCTATTGGCCACTAACATCGTGTGATATCTCTTTTTCCTGTAGAGATATGTAAAGTTTAAAGTCTGGGGAGATACTGAATCGAAGGGGGACTCAGACCTTGTAGCAAAACATCACGAGTATCATTCGCCAGTTAACAATCGAAATGCTCGAACGAGTCATCGAAAATTGGACCCAAAGGATGGACCATCTGAGAAGTAGTCGTGGTCAACATTTGAAGAACATAATAAAAAAAAGTAGAGACCTTCGAAATGGATAATGTATTTTATTACATTATTATTATATCTTTTTTAATAGAATAATCGGCGCTCATTTTGAAAATTTTCGGATTTGCTTGATCCCGTATTCAATCTCCAGGAGAACTTTGAAAAAAAAAATATCACATAGTTGAGTATAAATAATGATCAAAAGACTAGTAAAAATTATTAATTCAACAAAATGACGGTGAAGTCAATTTTTGTGAAAAAGTTGCACTTCAAAATGGCCTTAAAAAATCAAAATGAATCCCTAAATCATTACCTGACAAATACAGCTAAAGAGGTGGTATGAAAATTGTAGATCAATCGGTCCAGCCGTTTCGGAGAAACATTCCTCACAGCTCCGAAAGCATCGTTTTGATCGAAAAACTCGTTTATGGTTTTGGGTGTCGATTATACTAAGTTAAAAAATGTACAAAAGCGCTCATATATCCGAAACTATTCCCCCAAATAGTCATCTTCACAACTTCGGAGAATATTCTCAAAAAAATTTACATTCGAAAATCGATTTTTTGATATTTACAAGTGGATATAACTGCTCGTAGTTACATTATTATCATAAAATAAGATCTCTTCTTCACAAAAGTTTTGAATTTTCCTAACGAAAATAATACAAAGACTAAAAAATGTTAATAATTGTGTATTTCACTCACCGCTCTCAAAAAAAATCAGCTTCCAATCCAACTAGAAAGAATTTGTTTACACTGCTTTGCCTTTCGATCGCTTATTTGACCGCTTGTTGCACAGTAGACACAGGTTGAGCTCCATAAATGATGTTTGAGTCAACAGAAAACGGGTTCTGATTATATTTTGTATAACTAAAAAAAGGAAACAATACACACAAAATTCGAACTTGCAACACAAAAACAAGTAATTTGAACTAGAATGCCAACGAGAACTCTTCTTCGCACACACTATATCTTTTCTGTACTCTTTTCATGAATTTGTTAGAATTTGTACACTCTTATTGCTTTGGATATATGTATCTGTATGTTTGCGCTCGCTCAACGCACTTTGCTACACACTTTAATTGTAAATAATACACAGAAAATTATTTGACATTCACTGACATCGACTGCCTTTTTTTCATTTCGGGGGCGTATTTGTATTTATTGACGCAGATATTTTTGCACTGATGAAAATCACTTTACACCTTTGTTATTGCACTGCACAAGTAAACAGTAATTATTAATATATTTATGTATTTGTAAATATAAGCAGCTATATTTTATTGTTTCACGTTTTTTGTGAATAACTGGTTGATTTTCAAACCTTATTTTTTGTAATTTTTGCTTGCAGCACACACTGCGTTTATCTGCCAAAAAATTCTGCTGGAGAAGCGCCGAGATCAACAGCTATCTAAGTACTTAATATTTAAATGGTTTTGAGTGTATATGTGCACGCTGAGCAGTACACTCGTGGCTGTTTTGAGAGTCCAGACGGTTTTCGGGAGTGAGCACTCGCAAGTGTTTTGAGCGAGTGAACAGGTAGTTTTTCAATGCATGTACACTTTATACAATATATTAATGTGCTTGTTGTTGTTTTAACTGCTGTGAGATTTGTTTGCTTTTAATTTGTAGTCGCTGTTTAATTATTATATTTTACTTTATTGCTGGTTTTTACGTTTTTGTTTGTTATTGTATATGTAGTTGTAGACGTTATTTTAGATTGCTGATTTTTCGTTGTTGTTGCGTTTTTAGTTAACTTGTTTATGTAGCTATTTGCCAAGTAATATTATGTGAAGTATTTAATTTTGCTTACACTTTTAAGCGTTTGTTGTTTTTTGTTGCGCTGCGCCTATACTCATTTAAAGTTTCCTTTATGTTTTATACATTTGGCTATGGAAGAAAGCAAATATTTAAATATTAGACAATTTATTATAAATGCTTACGTTTGTTTGAAATATATAGTATGTGCATATGTATGTAATTATTCGATTTAAGAAACTGTTTATATTCAATAACTTAAAGTTAACTATTTTGCCCCCATTTAATACAATTGTGGCGCATTAAATTATTCAAAATTTTTGAAACTTTTATGGATTAATATTTAAAGAAATTTTTGAAATTTTAATTTTTAAACAATTTTTTATTAATTTTTAAAGTATGAATTTACAGTTTCAAATTAAGTTTTTTGGTGAAAAAAATTTATGAAAAATTTTAAATTCATTCTTTTCAATATATTCTTTCTTAATTTTTGTAGACATTTCTGAAAATTGCATTTTTAAACTATTTTTATAATTTTTAAAGTATTTATAGTCTCAAATTGAGTTTTTTTCACGCATAAAATATATGAACATTTTTGAATATAAATTTTTTTTTTTCAATATATTTTTCCCATATTTTTTAAATAATTTTTGTAGACTTTTAGGAAATTAAATTTTCATAGTTGATTTTCTTAATTTTTAAGTATTTATAGTCTTAAATTTAGTTTTTTAGTGTATAGAATTTATGAACATTTTTTAAAATTCATTTTTTCAATAAATTTTTCTTTAATTTTTATAGACACTTCAATAAATTAAATTTTCATAATAGTTTTTATTAATTTTTAGCGGTTTATGGTCTTAAACTTATTTAATTTGCTGTATGTCAGCGCATACTTAATTTTAGCGTAATCTGTGCTATCCGTTTTAGATGAAGAAATTTATAGTTCAAATATAACAAAGGTTAACTAGTTAAAAATATGCAATAATAATTGTTTATATGTATGTACTATTTTGCTTTGTTCAAAAAAATTATTTAAATGAAAATAACAGCAATTTTTTTTTTTTCAAAATCTAAACATTATTTAGCACAATTTTTACATTTTATTTTTCATTAAAACCAAACATATTTTACAACAATTTCTAGCACTATTTCATTATGCTCAAATATGCGTAGCATAAAAATTCGGCTTTCACTTTATACACACATCTTCACACATACATACAATTGCACTTTACTCGTTCAATTTTTTTCTCGAATATCTTACCTATAATTCATTGCACTTTAATGGCCATTTTTTACTTTTGCTTGCAACATTCGCAGTACAATTTATTCAAATTTATATTATTAACACACACACACTACATTTACATACATATGCACTTATATTACTTGCAAAGTAATTACCACAACTGAGTATTTGCTTAAAACTTCCGATCTATGTCTGCGCTGTTATAGATTCTGTGGCCAAACAACTAGTAAAGGCCAAATAAATAGTTTGTACAAAATCACAGACTGCAATTCGGCTCGCCCGTGTTTGTTCGCGCACACACGACCACACTTTATGATTATTATTTTAACAAAATATGTTTTTCAATTTGCGTTAAACATTTACTAACTATTTACCAAGTTACTTTGGTAACAACGCTTGCAGTATTTGTATTTTAATATTTTTGCTTTTACTCGTCACAGACAGCCATTTCACAAAACCAGTTGCATTTGCCGAAAATTTAACTTTTTACCTTTACTCGCGCGCGTCTGCCGACAAACCGAACACACTGAACGCATTGAGTAGTTACCGCAAACTGTGGAGCTCTCGTAGCCAACGATATTAACCATCCGGCTAATCGAGCAAGTAAACTACTAGTTGGCCATAAGTGCAAATGCACTCAATATATGTACATGATGGTAGTTTCCTATGTATTTGTGTGGCAACCAGAGTGGCGGATATATTTTTCCGGTTAGTAAACGCTCTTCGTAGCCAGAGAGTAAGAAGAAAGTGTGTGAGAGTAGCGAATAATGTGACATAAGACGACTTTATTTTGAGCTACGGCGTGAAGAATGATGCTATCTTAGTTGTTAACACTAAATATTTTTCATCATTGATGCTTAATATATTAGAAATATAATTTGATCTTCACTATTAATAAACCTACATAGTCTAAGAAATATATTACTAGAAAATAATAAGAAGCGGAGCAAATAATAGTGGGAATTAGTGCCAAATGCAGTGGGTAGTTAAGTAAACGTTGGTATTTCTTTACATTCAGCTAGAATTTTAAAAATTTGTCTTATGTATAATTTAAATTAAGCTCAATAGGTGAGAAAATAACAAGTAGTAAATCTGATACTGGTTTCGGAATTAAAAATTTAATCAAAATTTATTTTCGAAATTTTTAATTTCGAAGTACGAAAACTAAATTCTAAAACAAATTCTTTTCACAATTTTGAATGATAAGCAAATTATTTAAATTATTTTTTTCTATTCCCTATTGAGAAA